AAAAAAAAAAAAAAAAAAAAAGACTCTGCGCAGGTCAGGTCGAGAAATTTGCTGGCGGGGCGCTTAGATTTCAGCCGTCCACTTGGAAGAACTCCACCCTAAATTTTGTGGTGGAAGTTGTTAGAAATCTCGGATCGCGGGACTTTCGATCGGGCGAGGGAACTACATCGGTGATCTCCTTCCGGGTTGTTGGACTGGGGCGTGAAGCTGCTCCGGCGGGTCGACGCAAAGACGGCACGAGCCTTCGATTTGAAGCTCGACAGGGTGAAGAATTCTGCCGCGAGCGAAGGAGGACCGGTGCCTCGGGCGTCGGACGCCGGGCCAAGCGAAATGCAGCCGTCGCTTACCCGAAACAGTGCGCGAGGAAGCCGTGATGGGATGGAGCATAGGCGAGACGACCGACGAAATTCCGAGCGAGCTGCAGGGGCGATGCAGTAGCCGCTTGTTCTATCCTGGGCATTTGAAGCTGCTGCCGGCGAGTTCGCCTCTGGCTGCATATTGGGAAGCGACACAAAGGCGGCAGGAGCCATCAAGGCGCAAGCGTGCGCGCGTGGGCGCCGACGTGGGCGCGCAGCGAGGGCGTGCGGCGATCTAGCTTGAAACGAAGCAGCGTCTGCAGCGTCTGCAGGTCTCGGATGTCGGTCGATAACAAACTTTCGGGTCTCGACTGGCTTGGCGCTGAATGCTAGCTTTTTTGTATGCTTGGATGCAACGGTCCCAGCTCAACGGATCTTCTCACGGCCCACCCAGCACCATTACAGATGCCTTAGCTTCGCTGCTCTCAGTCGATTGGAGAGGATCGAGATGAACAAGTCGCACGAGCCCGCCGTAACCAGAATCGCCCGTGCGCGGCCGAAGCAGAAGCAGAGCGCGGATCGACGATGCGGGCGTCCGAGAAAAAGGCGCAGCGCATTAATTTCACGGTAGACTCATGGCATCATCGCGTGCTGCGCGCGACACTGGCCATGCGCCTGTCGCTCACTTTGAGCACAAGACAAAAGAGTCGCGCTTGAAACTCAGAACAGATTTCGGGAAATAACGTTAAGCCGTTCCACGGCCAACCCCGACTCACCTGTTGCGCAACGGCAACTTAGTCTCGCGATTGCCAGTTGCGCCGCTCGTCAATCCATGTCGAGCCTGTTTCATGCAGTTTCGCGCTGGCGCGAGTTTAGATGCCAAGGTTGCATGCGAATGCCCTGCGGGCGAGAGCCCAACTATGCAGCCGTATAGAGGCCTCCTTGTGTGTGAACGAAGCGACGGATGTTGAAAGGCAGGCGTCGCTCAACAAGGGCAGGGCTGACCGCGTGCGTCATGAGAGCGTGGGAGCGCGTCGATGCAGCCATGTGAAGAGACGGGACGGGTACACAAGGCTGACGAGCCGATGGACGCGACAAGTTTGATCTGCGCTCTTGCGCCACGGCGATCCCTTTTTTTCAAAATTGCGTTGGAAACGCACGCAGGCTGTGCAGGAGTGCAGCGGTGCGTCGAGCTCGCCTATGCACGACGCAAACAGATCCACGCACTCTTTGGCGGCGCTTCGCAGGCGGCGCCTGAAATGAACAGCATCTGCGACGCACCCGCCCGCACCTCATTCCGATGCAACTGACTGATGCTCTCTCTCTTCGAAGTACCAATGCGGCAACCCACGGTGGACATGTCCTTTGTGGTTGGCGAGCGTGAGGCTCTGTGCTTCGTGCTGCGTACAGACCCGCATTTCACATGGCCCACGGTTTCGTCGGATATCCGAAGCGAGTCGGTCGCCTTGACAGTCAGCCACATATCCCCCTCCTTTGCCGAGGTCGGCTGCAACTTCTCTGCCTTTATCGGCTGCCACAAGGAAATTCGTCTTCGTCCCGCCGTCCGGGTCGAGGCGGCGACGCAGATCCGCATCGATAGCCATCCAGCTGTCTGGCCACGCTGGATCGCCTTGGCTGCATGTGCTTGCCGCAAATAACCTCGACACGGCCCATGTACTCTGCGCCAGTCTCGTGCCCCATTGAAGGTCGGTGCCCTCTTAATCATCGCTTCGCTGCCTCCGCCGGATCTGGGCCCTCTCGTCCCTGCTTCCCAGCCCTGCATTGACTGTCGCTGCCGGCGTCGTCCCTGCTTCCTAGCCCTGAGCCTGTTCCGTCTTTCTGAGTTTGTCTACTTGAAACGCCGCCGCCGCCTCCTCTTCCTCGTACCGCGTGCAGGGATACCTATCCTTCCCTTCACCCTCCATCACCAATCCCATTTCTTGATCGCAGACCCGACCTTTCGCCCGCTTCACTTTACCACCGCCATTCTCGCTCATCTCTTTGCGCCGGTTGCGCAAGTGGTGGGCCCTCCTGCAACGCTGTTCCTTGCTGAAGCTCGCACAGCACAGATCGACTAGCCTCAAAGCGAAACCGACCCACAGCGCCTTCATCCCGATCGTCGTCTTTCAGCAATCATGTCGACATATACTCGTCCATATCCGTACGCCATCTTCACCCACTCGGTCGGCGCCAACGTGGCAGGTCACTCGCTCTTGTCCAAGCTCCGCGCCATCGCAGACGCCGGCTTCGACGGCATCGAGCTCTTCCAGGATGACCTCGATGCATTCGCTTCCTCCGACGAATTCCGTCGCATCCAAGAGATGGGAGAGGCCAGCACCGCAGCATCGTCCTTGGCCCCGCTCAACCTCACCCCTCCCGACTCGCCCATGAACATCGACCGCCGCTACTCGGGCTCTTCGTCGGCGAGTCACTCGTCGGACGATGCCAGCACCTCTTCCCTCCCATTCAACAGACCGCTGCCCCAAGACAAGAAGCACTTTGCTGTCGCAGGCCTGGATGATGATCTGCTCGTGCGCGATGCTAGCAACGAGCTCGTGATCGGACTCGATGGCTTGCCCATGACGTACAACGCCTTTGGCACCTGCACGGCCACCGCCTATCGACAGGAGCTTGCCGCCGCTTCCTATATTGCTGCCTTTTGCGACACTCTCGGCCTCCGTATCTACAGCCTTCAGCCACTCCGCGATTTCGAGGGCTGGGCAAAGCAGCAAGACCAGTTGCTTGCCCTTCGCCGCGCCCGCTCGCGCTTCGAAGTCATGCGCGCCCTTGGCGCTGACTTGCTGCTCATCTGCTCCAATAATCAGCATGCTCCTGTCACCGTAGGCGACGTCGAGCGCATCGCGATCGACCTTGCTCAGCTCGCCGACTTTGCGGACCGTTTTGGCTCCGTGCTTGTGCCTCTGCACAGCAACTCCGGTACCATCGAGCGCCGAGCTAGGCCGATCCGCATCGGATACGAGGCGCTTTCTTGGGGAGCGCACGTAGACGTTTGGTCCCGCGCCTGGCAAGCCGTCCGCCTAGCCGACAGATACAACGTCGGCCTTATCTTGGACTCTTTCAACACACTCGCCCGCGAGTTTGCCGATCCATGCACTCCCACAGGCATCACCGACCGATGCGACGACCCTTACAGCGAGGTCATGCAGTCGATCCGTGCCCTCAGAACGGTCCCAGCAGACAAGATCTTCTTCCTCCAGATCGGCGACGCTCGCAGGATGAAGCAGCCCCTTGCACCGTCTCCCAACGCTGACGAGCCCAGGCCGGCACGCATGATCTGGTCTAGGGGCAACCGGCTCTTTCCGTGCGAATACAAGCAGGGAGCCTTCCTGCCCGTCAGAGAGTTCGTCCACGCAGCCGTCAAGGAGGCGGGCTATCAAGGCCCATGGAGCATCGAAGTCTTCAACAGTAGCTTGTCGGATGAGGGCGAGACAGTGCCGACGTTGCACGCCCGCCGTGCGCGAGCTGGGCTCGATCGTCTGGTCGAGGAAGTGGACGCTTGAACATCTTACCCAATGCCCTGTCTATGACACTTCCTCCCCATTCTTATGATGGACACTGTTCCGATTCCCACTGGTTCTCCTGCTTTGCATCGCATTCCCTCAAAGGTCCGGATTGCCCGTCGAACAACATACCCCTGGACCTCATCCTTCTTTTGCACTTGTATTCATTCAATCTGTCTTGCCCTTACCGTCACTCCGTGCCTTTCCTGTCGTCGCGCTCCAGTATCTTGTCGTCGCGCTCCAGTATCCTCCCGTATCGATATCATCTTCGCGAATGGAATTGTTGAATACTTTTCACATTGCCCGTTTCGCCAGACGGAGTGTATGGATGCGATCATGTGTTTCTGTTCTGTTTGAGCAGGAGATCCTCCATTCCTTCGCCTACAGCTTTTGTCGAAAGGAGCGTCCTCCTCGCTGCCAGCTGGCCGACCCTGACGGCAAGGTCGAGCCGGTCACCAGGAGATGACCTCCCAGCCACGGCTCGTGTTTCTTGACTCTGCGCCAGCAAGTGGAAGAGACTGGCTGCGAAAGCACCGGCAAAACTGTCGCCGCAGCCAGTCGTGTTGACGACCTCTACCTTGCCTGCAGGTACGGGATGGTGTTGAGCTCGCGAGATATCGATCGTGACGACTCCGTGGCGGCCCAGCTTCAACAAGATGGTTCCAAAGATTCCCGCCTGCACCAAATCGTGAGCTTTGTGGAGCGCGGTCTGAGGGAGAACAGAGGAGGGGACCGAGCTGGCCAGCCTTGTCGGTTGGATCTTCGTGGGATCGAGAAGGCCATAGTCCAGGGCGGCAGCGTGAATCCAATCGAGCTCCACCGCGTTGGGGGTCGTGAAGCTGATGGGCTGCTTCGTGTTGCCGTCCGCCGCTGCGGCAGCAAAGTGTGGGAGCACAGTGGCGGACTTGGCGACACTTGTCGGCTCAAACACCGTCAGCACGGCCGGCCGGCTTCCTTGCACTGTCTCACCGCTTGCATTGTAGGCTCGACAAGCTTCCAAAAGCTCGTCTGCGTGGGCTTGGCCAATGTTGCCGTCGAAGACGACGAATCGAGGTGCTTCGAGCTCCAGTAGCGAGTTCACGTCGACAGAAGTCGAAGTCAGAGCCGCCTTTCCGATGTCCATATCGGCAACACCGGAAATGAGGTCGCCGGAATCATCGATCATGAGAGAACAAACCGCCGTTCTGTGGTTGCCAGAGGGCACGAAAAGCCCATCGGTACGCATGCCTGCGTGCCCCAAGCCCGTCCGCAGCAGGATGCCAAAGTCGTCGTCGCCGTGAGGGGATACAAGCTTGACGGGCGAGGGTGTGCTTCGAGTGTGTAGAGGCGAGAGAATGCGGGTAGCCGTCTCGGCCACGTTTCGCGCTACACCGCCAAGCGTGATCGACACGCGGCCAGGGTAGGTGGTTGCGGCAAGCTTAGACGCTGTTCCCGCCGATTGCGTTTGCGAAGTAATGTCCACCGCTGCGGCCCCGAACATCAAGATGCCCGCCTTGCCTGTTGACAGCTGCTGGAAGTAGAAGCACAGGAGGAGGCAAATGGAGCTTCAGCACAGAGATTCACACAGTGGCTGGCTGGATAGTCTTGCTCGCAAGCTGGGATTGGAAGAGGGTTATCTGCGGTGGCTGCCTATGTACATGTAAGGGCTTGCAAGCAGATAGGAAGCCAAGAGCATTGGCAGGAGAGGCTCGTCAACTCACCGTCTGCGGGATGCCACCGAGCGCATAAGTGCTTGCTACCTGCTGCACCTCGTTTTCGATGCGGCTGAGCTCAACGGCAACTTGTGCGGCCTTCTTGGCGTTGTTGACGACGAGGGCGCGGTTGCTCTTCTTGCTCTCGGGGATGAGTTGAGCGAGGCGTTTGAGCAGCCACGGCGTCACCTCTTTGCCCTTCTTGTCAATTCCTTGCTGGATCGATTCGCGCACTGCTTGCTCGACGCACTGTTGGATGCGCTGTCCGACCTCGTTCCATTCCGCTGGGATGGGGTTGGCAAAGACATGGCCGCTCTGCAAACCCAGCTGAGCATTGGCGAAGATGGCGGCTGCTGCCTGGGCGTCCGTTCCGGCATAAGGAACAGAGAGACCCGAGTTGGATGTATAGAACGCTGGAAATTCGCCTGTGGGATTGAAGGTGGTGACCGATACTCCGAAGGTCTCGAGGACCTCGAGCGTGCGGGGGATGTCGAGGATCGACTTGGGGCCCGAGCAAAAGACGGCGACAGGAGTACGACCGAGCTCTGTCAAGTCGGCAGAGATGTCCATGGCTGGCGTAGAAGCGGGTGATGAGGAATCTTGTCAGCCTGCACTGCGCATACGAGGCGGGCGGACAGATGAAAATGCGGTTGTCAACTTACTGGACTCGGCGCCACGGTGGACACCTCCGATACCGCCGGTCGCAAAGATGGGAACACCGGCCATGTGAGCCAACACCATGGTGCCGCTGACGGTGGTGCCGCCTACGGATCCGTGGCCCTTTGACAAGACGTGTGCAATATCTCTGCGGCTCGCCTTGATTGCCGTGTTCTTGCTCGGGTCGATCGCGCACCGTGCCAAACGCTCGAGCTGAGGCTCGTCCAGGCCGACCAGAGGCTTTCCATCGAGCAGCGCGATGGTTGCGGGAACGGCGCCGTGGTCGATCACTGTCTGCTCGAGCTCCTGTGCCACCTCGAGGTTGTATGGGTAGGGCAGGCCATGTGTGATGATGGTCGATTCCAGCGCGACGACGGGCGCCCTTGTCTTTGGATCCAAGGCGGAGCGGACAGCCGGGGAGAGAGCTAGTGTAGGGTGGGGCGTTCGGCTGAGGGCGTGCGCGGCTTGCCTCAAGATTGCTGTGGATCGGACCATGTTGGAGTTTGCCGAGCGTGTGGGCAAAAAGGAAGCGAAGCACGTTCGCCGACCTTGAGCTCTTTATACGATACGGATGCGAAGAGAAAATGGCGCTCGGGAGAGCGGGTGGAAGACCGGGAAGATGGCAACTTATCTTCCGCATAGTTCTTCTGCGCCGGCTCTTCGGTGCGGTGGTCCGCACTTCCATATTTTTCGGAGATCAGCAGAGGCGACAAAATCGCCGAGCCGCACCAGTCGCGTGGGTGGAAGTTCGGAAGCTCGGTGAGCCGCGCTGTGCCACCTCGACTGCCGCCTTGACTGCTGCCGCTGCCGCTTCCGCCGCTTTGGCTCATCCGAGGGACGGACACCCGATAGGACAGATATACCAGTTCGACGGCACTGGTGTCACGCCCGATTGCACACCACACAAGTCGCCTCAGGCCATCTCGAAAGTCGTCGGATATGATGTCGCGACATCTATTGCAAGAAAAGTCATGACCGAAGCCTGCAAACTGCAACTACTCTAGACTGTCGGATGCACAGCTTCCGATCTCAGAGCTCCGCATGCGCAGGAGCGTCTGATGCAGATCCGGACGCTGCGCCAGTGCGACCAGACGCCGCTTCGAGGGCTGGGGAAGAAAAAGTGGATCGGATAGGAGCGTCAGCAAGTTGGGAGATGGTCATCGCCGAAATAACATCATTATGCTCACCCTTTCGAAGAGCCGGGTCCACGGTCTCGGGCAGAACCAGCTGCCACTCGATGTAGAGCTTGCCAAACAGCATGTCGCGACCCGCGCGCATCTCGTCATCTGATGCCTCGGACAGAGAGGTGCCTTGCACAGGCATGCCCTCGGTGTCCACCACCGACACAAAGCCGGTTTGTGTAACGCCGTCTCGCTTCACCGTCACCGTGCGGCCGTCCATGTGCGTGAGGTTGCGTTCGAAGCCTAGCAGAGCATCCGACAGCGAGATGGGTAGCGTCTTGTAGAGCGAAGTGCCTCCTCGTCGGAACTGTCCTTTCGAGCGTCTGGAACTGTCGTCATGGAAGGCCGCGAGACAGCGCAACAGGTCAGATTGGTCCTCCTTCCATCTTTGACCATCTATCATAACCGCTGTGGACTTACCTGATCTTGACGATCACGTCGCCGGCTTCGTAGTCGGGCCCCTCGTCTGCCTCTCCCTCGATCACCACTTCCACGCCGTTTTCGGCTCCGCGCTCCAGCTCCACCTCGATCGATGCAGCCTCCTGCACGATCTTCTGACCATCACACTTGGAGCACTTGTGCGCGATCACTGATCCCGCACCTCCGCACCGGTCGCACGTCATCTGGGCGTTAGTAATAAATCCGGGCATGATCTGCTGCCGAACGATGCGTACGCCACGCCCGTCGCACGCTTCGCACGTGTGGATGTCGCCCGGCGACTCGGCTCCACTTCCGTCGCAGTGCGAGCATACCACATTCCTCTGGTACTCTAGCGTAAACGTCTTGCCGCGGTAAAAGTCTTCGATGTCGACGTCCACGTTGAATGCCTTGTTCGGACCCTTGCGGACTCCTCCACCACCACCACCTCCGCCAAAGAAGCGCGAAAAGATGTCGAAAGGGTCCTGTGCGTGCGCCTGGGGGTTGTCCTTGCGCGCTTGGTGCTTCTTGACCCCATCCACGCCGTATCGGTCGTAGATCTTGCGCATCTCGGCGTCGCTGAGCGTCTGGTACGCGTCGCTCAGCTCGAGAAACTCGGCATGCTTGTCGGGATGTTTGTCTGGGTGGATCTTTTGTGCGCGCTTACGATAGGCACGCTTGATGTCCCGGTCCGACGCCGTCTTGTCCACACCGAGCACCTTGTAGTAGTCCTTCGCCGCGGCTACCAGCGCTGCCGTCCACAGAGCCACCAACACGGAGAGTAGCAAGACCCATGTCATGCTCCCGCGCCGCAAGCCGGCACCTGACTTTATCAAGGGCTTCATCTTGTGCGTACACTTGTAGCCTTGCCGACGTGCGCTCCCGATGCGCAGACCTGCAGATGTTGGACGCCGGCTGATCAGCGGCGCCTCTCCGAATCGACCAAGGACGAATCGACTGCGGTTGGCGGAATTGCACGCTGTGTGTGAGAAGCGAGTTGTCGGCCAATCGGAATGATCAAAGTGCGAAAGGAGAAAGAGTCACGGGCGAGCAACACGAGGTCCTAGCGGCGAATGCAGCTAGAGGAAGTGGCCGGCTATGCCACCTCCTCGGCTTTCGGACTGCATGAGCTGGAAGGCTGCGTGTCACTTTTTCTTCTCGCTCTCGGCGGGCCAGTTTGATTTTCGATTCAACGTGTTACATCGCCAAAAAGCCAAGGTCTGGGCTCGGTGCCTCGGTAGCAGCAGAGTGTTCGACGTTTCGAACACTCGCTCAGAAGCCCTTGCAATCAAGCTGCTGCTGTGTCACGCATCCTCATGATGCTAGCTTGGCTGCCCTGGTTCTGTAGCTCAGATCGACAGCATGTGAGATTGATACAGTATCGTACATCGGCAAGGATCCGTATCACGCCACCAAGACAAGGATCGTGAAGAGCCGGCCCGGTCGACTCTCGCATCCCGTCAAAATGCCCAGTTGAAGCACCCGACACTCTTGAGGAAGAGGCCCCAGTCCGTGGGTGTGAGGCCGCTGTCAACCAGACTCCAAAGATGCTCGTTGAGCTTCTCCATGCGCTCGAGGTCGAACTTGTAGTAGGGCCGAAGCTCGTTGAGCATGGCCCGGATGCGATCGCGGTCGTGGCCGCGCGCCGAGAATGCGGCAAACGAGAGCGGCAGAACCAAACTTGGCAGGCGGCCAAAGGAATCGATGGAAAGGGCAATCAATGATGTCAGCACAGTTGCTTTCTTGCCACAGGGATCGACGACCCTTACCCTTTGGTTATGCCAGCCTGGATGGCCTCCTCGGTGCGGTTGAGTACCACGGCTGTAGGCTCGGCAAAGCATGGATGGTCGGCAGGCTTCGAAAAGATGACCGAGTGGATGTAGAGCTCGGCTGTGGCGACGTAGAGGTGGTTCATGATCACCGGGAGAAGCGCCTGCAGCGTCCGTGACGCTTCCGCTGGGAAGGGCATCTTTGCCCAGATGGGGATCTCCGCCACCAGGGCGCGTGCCGTCGACTCAAGCCAAAGGCGCGTCTCCTCGTACTCTGGTGGCAGCGTGGGAGGTGAACCGGCGCCGACCGCCTCTGACAGAATGATGGTGACGCTGGTGCGTTCCTGCAGTTCTCTTCGCGTGGCCTCGACGCGCGTCATCCTAGCGAGCATGTCGATCATGCCACGATGGAGACCAAAAGTTTGGAGCACGCTGTCCTCTTTGATGCTGCGCGGAGAGTCCATGAGCGCGTACCACCAGTCATCCCACGGTTGCAGGAAGAGGGTATAGTCGTCCGAGGTGAGCGAGCTGAGTGCGTCAAAGCAGGCAATCTGCTCGATGAGAAAAAGGCTCGACGGATCGGATTGGTCCACGAAGGCGGCGGGTCCGCCGAGCTCGGCGATGGCGCGCGAGGCAATGTGCAGCGCGTCCTGCCAGTCCTGTTGCGCAGCGAGCCGATCGCGTGTGGCAAGACCGAGGACAGTGGCCAGCATGATAGCAGCGTTGCCGCGGTCGAGGGGGGCGCGCCTCTCCTTGAGAGTGGTTCGCAGCAAACGAAGACATTCCTCTCGCCTCAGATTGCTGAGCTCCAGCAAGACGTTGGATACGATGTTTGCGGTTCCAAACGAGTCTACAACGCCACCCAAGCCTGGAGTCAGGTCGGAACGCATGTTTGGCGCACCGAAGTGCGGGGTGGTGCCATGCGGTGACAACCCGGACATGCTTCGAGTGCTGATGCTGGCAGGATGATCCGAGCGGGGCGACGGATCGTCTGGCCGCGCAGCCTCGGCCGGGAAGGAGTCGGGTATGGGCGTTTGCGACAGCTTGTGACCAATGTCGAGACTTGCCATGCTCAAGAGTGCTGAGCGAAGGGCATCCTCGTAACCATTCTCGCCGGCCGGATGTCGGACTGCAAATGTGGCATGGTACAGGATCCAGCGGTTGTCCGAGAGCGGGATCCGGATAACACAGAGCTGCGGCGCCACCTCGAGGATGTAGTGGCGGAAGAGGCACTGCTGCTCATAAGTAGGAAAGTAGGCATCGAGGTTGTCGAAGCCGAGCCCGGCCGGCAGCTCTGGCAGTCTTACCTTGGCGATGTCGATGGGCGAGGAGGCATAGGGTGTCGAGTAGACATGCGAGTGGGGCAGCGGACGATGATGATCGTAATCGGCGCTGGGCTGACGTAGTGTGTCTGGCCGCGAGGAAGCCTCCGGCTGAGAATACGCACTGTTCCACTTCGTGCGGTATCGGTCGTGATGGGCGGTGGCAGATGCGCGATCCAGGCTGTTTGCTTGGTGATGATGAGCATTTGTGTCTCTTTCGTCGAGGGCTGACTGGGGAGAGGTAGACAGTGGGGATGCCTTTGGTTGGTGTGACCAGAAGACGCGACTGGCCCCGTCGGATGGGGACGAATGGGATGCATCTGGCGTCCCGAAGGTGAATGTCGAGTGAAGTGGCGGAAGTAGAGCCGGCTGATCAGGGTGAATGAGCGAGGAGACATGGATTCCCGGTAGGGGCTGCGAGCTGGTGCTCGGCGTGGGTGCTGTCGGAGCGGACTGTGCTGACTCTGGGTAGTCTGTCAATGCGGAAGGAGCGGAAGGCTCCGCATAGACGCAATCGCGATCACCGCAAGCACATCTGCGGCAGACTGGTTTGGCCTCGTCGCACTTGACGCGCCTTTTGCGACATGTGAGGCAACCGGCCAAGGACCTCTCGTGGTAGCGTTTGACACGATTCGGTATGTACTTTGCCTTGCCTTTGGTTCCTTTGGAGGGACCAGGCCGCGACGGGGCTGGATCCGCCGACGACTCGAGCGTATCGGCACGCGGGCGTTTGGGCGAGGTCGCGTCTGATAGGGTGGGGATGCTGTCGTTGGCAGCGTCGCGCGACGAGGGTGAGCTCGGAGAGCGAGTTTGGTCGCCGAGCTCTGGCGAAGGAGTCGTCTCCGCCGCAGGACGGCCGGTTGGCGGAGTCGGCATCGAGTTGCGGCTCGTCATGTGCGAGCTGCAGACATTTCCTGCTGCCGTCGCTGGGAGCGGGCGTGCCAACGTGCTGCTGAAGCAGATCGTTCAGGTGCGGGGCGGGACGATCGTGAGGGCGAGGTTTCAGGGCGACGGATGGAGATGGAAAGGGACTCGGCCACCAGACGGAGAGAGATGCATGGCGGACGCAGATAAGTCGGCCCGCAGCGCTTGCTCTCGTGGCCGACTGCTGCTGCCCTCCCCCACAAGCATGGTCGTGGAGGAGGCGGTAGACAGGCGAAAAAGCCGCAATTTTCTCGTGGCTCGCCCCACGGCTGCATAGAGACGAATGGACGGGTCAAAGTGCCTGCCTGCTTGACGAAGCTTGACGAGCTGGACCCTGGCCCTCTTTGTTAGCCAGAGCTTTCCCGCTGCGTACCTGACTCATTTTCGCAAGCATACGCGCTCATCAAGACGACACAAACAGCTGTGGCGATTGCGGCATGACAACCTCGTCGCCGGTCCACTTCACGCGCAACGACAGCTTCGGGTATACCAGCCAGCTGCCAGCGGCACTGGGTGGCGGCTCAGCGCTGTAAAATCGCGCAGCTTTCCGCGAGATCCGGAGTTTGCGGCAGGCGCGCTCGCATAAACGCTGTTAGAGTGTTGGTGGGCCTGCTTATCTTTTCGCGCGAACGAAGGGCTCAGAAGGGATTGAGCTTGCTCACGCTCGTCCGCAACGCTGTTCAGCCCATACTTGCATGCACCCGAGGCATGGAATCGGCTCGCTTTGGCGCTCTGCGATAGTCGTGCGAGACGTGTGAACGCACCGACGACATCGGCGCTGACCAGCCCCGGTTGTAAACTCGGCAAAGCGAGTTTCGTCGCGCGGCACGCTGCAACTCGAAGGCGGTGCTTGGCCCAGGCCCCCAAAATCCGACCGCAATGCCCGGCAAGGTTGGCCGTCGTGTTCGCCGAGCTGCACCGCCAAGAAAGCAATGCAAGCCCGATGAGACGGCAAATCGGCAAGGCAATGCCCCACCAGGCCGGCGCTTGCGTTGAATCGATGATCCCCCCCAGGATCGACGCGAGTGGCAAAGAGGCAACAGTTTCATTTTCGAAGCGCACTGGGGGCGCAGCTGTGGCGGTCAGAGACGTGTGACAGGTCAAAAAAGTGCACTGCGCATTCATTGTTGCGCTGCCGATGATGCATTAACTTACCGCATCGCCAACCTTGAGTTTCCAATGACCCTGCTGGCACACTTCGGCGTACTGTATGTACCTTGGCTTGTGATGGCGACATCACATTGACCGGTTCGAGTGGAGTCCCCCGGCAAGGCAAGGCGGTGCACCCAGCCCTGCGGACGGCCCCCAATTTCTCCAGATGCACTACAGTCCAGAGACGGCGGGTCGTTCGAGAAAAATGCTCCTGCCGAGAGGTTTTCCAGGCGCGCAGCAGCTGCTCGCGGCGATCAAGCGAGCCGTCAGACCGCATGGCATCCCTCGCCTCTCCTGCGAAAGCCGACTTGGCAGGCTGTCTTGCCCAGTCGGTCCCCGCCAGCCTTGACCACCGGTAGATGGGGCTCGAAGCTGCGACCGTTTTGCCATCCTTCCTCTGACCATCTCGCTCGCTCCGACCCCGGTTGCCACCTTCTTCCTTCTCTGCGCTGGACGCATCCTTGACCGACCGACGCCACCGCTTTCTTTTTCCCGCGAGAGTCGTATAAGACTGCAACCTTCGGTGACGCCTGGTGCGCACATCAATCCTCATCTTCCTCCAGCATCAACATGAAGCTTTTTTCGACACTTTCAGGCTTGGCGCTCGCCAGCGTGCTTACCTCCTCGTGGACACATGCGTTGCCGTCCGGATTGGATCGACGCCAAAGCGAGACGCAAGGCTACTACAGCCCCGCCACCAACGGCGGCTCGATGCTGACGGGCAACACGGCTTCTGGCCTCGGCGAGCCGCTCAACGTCATCGTCTCGGGCCAGTCGGACAGCGGCGTGCTGAGCCAGGACGGCTTCGAAGAGTTTTCGCGTGCGCTCTACTTTTCGCCCGGCAGCTGCCTCAACATCAGCCAGGGCGGCTACCAGACCGCCAACCTGGGCGATGGCAACGGAGCCAAGCCGCAGACCAACATCATGCGCTACAACTTCAAGCAGGGCGACGGCGGCACCTGTCTCGAGTCGCTTAAGGGCGGCAACCACTTCCGCTACTGGATCCAGAACGGCACCGCCGCCAATTCGGGCGCCATCTTCATCGCCGCCAGCGTCGAGCTCAACGCGACGCTCAACCACGCCATCGCGCCCAACGGCTACGATGACGGCCGCGACCAGCTCGTAGGCAACGCCACCGCAGGCACGCTCACCAGCCCTGGTGGCTTCCAGTACACCGTCAGTCGGCAGTCGTCCTCGCAGCTGCTCAGCGGTGCGTCTGCAAGCCAGATCAACCACGACATCGGCATCGACGGCGTCGTCGACGTGCTCACCGTCCGCATCACCAAGAACGGCAGCATCGGAACGGGTCGCTCCTCGGCCTCTAGCGGCGGCTCCACCAGCACACCCCAGCAGAGTTCCGCAGTGTCTATCCTGACGCTCGATCTTCGCACCTCGGCAGTCGCAACGTTGCTCGCTGTTAGTGTGGCATCAGGCCTTTCGCTCGTTCTCTAGCTTAGAGTCACCCCTTTGCTCCCGAGGAGCAACATTGGAACCGCATGCATCTCCCTACTTGAGACATCCTGGGGACCGGACAATACATAATGGCGCGCAGAACCTCTGTCTCCATTGTTCTGTGATTTTGACAGAGAGTGCGGCCAGCAGAGCGATTGGTGATCGATGCCGAGACGAGGACATGGTGAAGGCGAGAGCTGTCAGCGACTCTCAACCCTCCAGCGTCCCGTCAAGGGATCGTGGCAAGCAGGCGTGCCGAAAACATAATCTGTTAAGTTGAGATGCTGCCACTTCCGCTGTAGGCAGACGCAGGCTGCGCTCTCGCAGCGAACACCGAACGTTGTGTCGGGCGAGCCGCTCGTGTGCCTGATCAGCTGGACGTGCAAAGAGGCACACAGGCAGATATGCCGACGGAGTGTTCCGACAGGACGATGCCGGTTCCACCGTGTCATGTTTGGATCCGGCCGAGTCTGCAGGGCGGGCCTCGATTCTCGCGCGGAAGGCGGCGCGTCGAGCTTGGACCGACGGCCGATAAAGCCTCGACGTCTGTCGGGACCCTGAAGAGCGTTCGTGCGGAAGCCGCGCCGAAGAGTTGTGTGGGGTTGGAAAAGCGCACGTTTGCCTGCTGCATGCTTCTCCGGTCTGATGAAGCAACGAGGATTCATGAGGTGGCGCCTCCGTCAGGAAGCCGAAGGCGTGTCGAGGTGTGCACCGAGAACTGGTCAGTCCGCCAAGCGAGCTGCCCTCTGGATGGCTGTTTGCCGTCTTGCCGCCTGAGCTGGGCTGGCTGGCCCCAACACCTCGGGAATCACGGCAAATGTGCGGGCCGAGCTTGTAGTCGCGACTCCCTGCCGTCCGCTTTCGCGATGCCATCCCCGCTGGCTCGGCCCAGTGAATGCGGTGCCCCGGACGACAAGCTCGTCCTTCCTTTGCTGGGCACCGCACGCACACATGGAAGCTTGCCTGCAACCCTCATAAAAGCACCTCAGCAACCTTCGCATCTTCGCCGCTGCCAGAGTCCCTATCGCTTCCCTCCTCGAGCACAGACCGGCGAGCCTTCCGAACTTGCCCCCTTGCCACGTCGCCATGCCCGCCACGATCAGCGGCCTCGACGTCGCCTTTCCGCAGGACCAGAACCTTCACACATTCCTCTTCAGCAACCCGCTGCAGAATCATCCCAACCGCTTTGCCGACGAGTATCCCAACCACACCTACGATGGCGCTCCCATCCCGCAACAGCGTCCCGTCCTCGTCCACGACGGCACAGGCGCACAGCTCAGCTGGGCGAGGCTGAAGGCCGACAGCCTGCGCCTCGCTCGGTCCCTACAGGCACTCACGGGCCCACCGCCCGCCTTTGCACCCAATCCCAAACGTCCACTCGAGCCCATCCATGCGCCTCGTACTACCGTGCTCATGCACATCCCCAATGGTATGGTGTGGCCCCTTGTCGCCCTCGGCACCGTCGCCGCCAACCTCACCGTCTGCCCCATCTCCACCTACCTTAGCCCTCGCGAGCTCGCCTACATCCTCGCCAAGGCGCGCCCACAGCTCCTCTTCACCACCGTCGGCGCAGAGGGCGAGATTCCCCTGCGCAAAGCTCTGCAGCTCCTGCTCGACTCTCCGCCGTCCGACCTGGGTCAGGTCATGGCGGCCGAAATCCGAGCTTGGGCCACCGAGCTCGCTCGTGACTGGGACCAGGCCAAGGCCGCCCGTCTCGAGAAGAGCAACCAGATCCCCTTCCGCCGTCGCCGCGTCTGGACCGTCGACATCTCGTCGGGCATGGACTACTACGGCACCAACTTTGACCGCAACGGCGTGGCATCGGCACACGACCCTCGCGACTGGACCCACCTCTTGCTGCCGCCCCCGGGAAGCAAGGCAGAAGGCAGCATCGCCAGCCTCGACAGGCCTGCCTTCACCCCCGCACCCATGACGCCCGAGGAACAGCAGAGGCGCATTGCCTTTGTCCTCTGGTCCAGCGGCACCACCGGCCAGAGCAAAGGTGTCCTCATCAGCCACCGCGCCCTCGTCAGCAACACTCTCGGCATTTGGGACTCCAATCCTCATTTCAGCGGCCCCTCTCGCGGCTCCAACGGCGGCGGCGAGCGATGGATTACACTCGCGCCTTGGTACCATGTGTACGGGTAAGTAGAGCTCCCCCTCCGATTCCACCTCTCTTGTCGCTTTCCATGCTGACCACGCTCTTATTATCGACGCTGCTCACAGCCTTGCAACCGTCCTTCTCCCCACCGTGGCTTTCGGAACGACACTCATCATTCCCGCCTCGCCCAAGTTCGATCTGGGCTACTACCTCCGATTGGTGACTCGCTATCGCGCCACCTTCAGCCACATTGCTCCCGCCGTAGCGGTTGCGCTTCGTTCGTGTCCGCACCTCGACCCGACTTCGCCGCAGAGCAAAGGGATCGATCTCTCGAGCATCGCCGCCTTCCTCACCGGCGGCGCTCCTGTGCCTGTCGAGGTGGTGCGCAAGGTGTACGAGCGAACGGGCAAGTACATCCACCTGGGCTTCGGCACCACCGAGACCTGCTCCACCGCCCAAACCGCCGGCCTGGGGCTCGATGCCGATGCGCGTGGCCCGCGCGATGAGTTGGGCAGTGTGGGCATGCCTGTTCCCAACACCGAGATTCAGATTCGACCTCTGCCAGGCACCAGTCAGGAGCAGGTGGAGCAGAGGCGCGACGAGATTCGCAGCATGTCTCGTCAAGCACGCGCTCGCGGCGAGCGCGCGCCGCTCGACCCGGAGCTGGTGGGCGAGGTGCTCATCCGTGCGCCTGCCGTCATGTCGGGCTACTTTTCTGGTCTTTCCTCCGAGACGCACTCGGCGCTTGATCCCGAACTCACCCAGGGCGCTTTCACCGAAGACGGCTGGTATCGCTCGGGCGACGAAGGCTGCCTCGACGCCAACGGCCGTCTGTGGATCACGGGCCGCACCAAGGAGCTCATCAAGGTCAAGGGATTCCAAGTGCCACCCGCCGAGCTCGACGATCTCTTTGCTACTCATCCCGAGCTCGTCGATGCTGCGGCGACGGGCTATGTCAAGGACAAGTCGACGGGCGAGGAGCACGTTCTGCTGCTCGTGGTGCCCAAGGACAAGTCGATGCTCACCAATGAACGTGAGATGCATGAGCTGGCCTCGCGCCTGCACACCTGGGTTGGAGACAAGACGGCTTATTACAAGTGGCCCAGCACCTACCTCTTTGCCGACTCGGCCCCGAGGAACCCGACGGGCAAACTATTGCGCAAGGACATCGCCGCGACAAAGGGTCACAAAGTGGACATTGCCAGGCAGTCTAGAAAAGCGGCCTCGCCAAACCTGCAGGCCAAGCTCTGAGCCAGCCGTCCCTTTGTCTCGTCTTGCCCAGCGTTATCGGCACATCTGGCCCTTGAATGCAAAGACGATCGCTGAACGGAACATCCGACTGCGACCTTGAAGGAATGACATTAACGATTCATTAAAAGGATATCGGGAGTCGCCTCTGAGCGCTTCGCAACGGAACTGAAATCAGTTGTGGACGCCCTGAATGACGCGTGGGTACTGCTGGCGGATCATCTCAAAGAGCTCCGGGTTCTTGCCCTGCAGGACGTAAGGGTCCTCGGCGAGCGCGACAAAGTAGGTGCTGACGCCTGAGGCGATGCTGCCTGCGCCGACGCTGAGGGCGATGTTGAAGCCGAGGCCAAAGGCAACGAGGAGGATGATCGAGTAGTAGCCCGAATCGTTCTGGAGGTACTGCGGGTTGGTCTTCTGCTCGTAGATGAAGGCGAAGAGCGCTGTGAGGAGGCCGATGATGAAGGCACCGCAGTTAAAGACGATGTTGACGAGGCTGTCGTTGATGATGGCGTCGATGCCGCGATCGGCGAGGAGCGACCAGGTCTCCTTGGCGGCGCGGATGTAGCTGTTGCCGTAGAGCGCAATGTTGATGTAGGCGTAGCGGTTGAAGAATTCGACGAGGTACTGGATGCATGCGACGCAGCACGAGGCTACGCAGGCGAGGATGGTGCCCACCAGATCGCCATCCGATGCGGCCTGGCTCTGAAGCAGGTTGAACAGGGCTCGGAGGAGGTCGAGCAGCGCGACGATGAGCGAGCCAAAGCAGATCGAGCCGAGACTGTAGGTCATGGAGCGGCGGAAGGCGCCCCAGGCAGCGTTGGAGACCTTGGTGGCATTGTAGTAGGCGGTGCCAAAGATGCCGGCGACGGTGGTGAAGGCGACGTTCTTGATGACCTCGGAGATCCAGTAGTAGGCAAAGACGACAAAGACCATGAGACCAATGACGGAGGCGTTGCTGGAACTGGAGCCCGAAGCCTGACCGGAGGGCTCGAAGCGCTGGTAGGTGGCGACGACGACCCAGCTCGTCCATGCGCTGAAGGCGGTCTCTACGACGAGGCCGGCGAGAGCGACGACGTATACGCTCTTGTACTCGTCTGCTGTGCGGATGATGGTGACGAGGAGCACCTTTGCGAGCGGGATGCGCTTGCGCATGAAGAAGTAGGCGATGACGCTGAATACGGCAAAGATGGTGAAGATGATGGCGGCGGCGGTGTTTCCGCGCACCCAAAGGTAGACGCAGAAGGCGACGTTGCTGAGGGTGGTGAGGAGCAAAGTGGCCTCGAGGATGAACTTGGGGAAGGTGCGCACGAGGAAGATGTAGATGGCGGAGAGGACGAGGCCGATGGCGCAGCAGATCATGAAGAGGATGGCGGTGTGACCGTTGAGCGTGCGGCCTGCGACGTTGGCCTGGCCGATGTTGGCCGAGATGTCGGAAGAGGAGTAGCCGCGCAGGCAGATGACGGAGAGGGCGATGAAGCCGCCAAAGACGAGCAGAAAGAGCACGAGGAAGATGGGATCGTTCCACTTTGGCTTTGGCTGCAGACGCTCGCCCTGGAAGCCCTCGGGTTTGAGGGGCTGCTTGTAGTCGCCGCCGTAGTACTGCTGCGGAGGCGGTTGCTGGCCGTTGTAGTACTGGTTCTGTGCGCCGTTGGGCTGACCCTGGTAGGCGCCGGGACCGTACGAGCCGGGCTGCTGCATCTGCAGGGGCTGCTGGGGCGGGTAGCCGCCTCCGCCGCCGTAGTATTGCTGTGCCATGGCGAGCTGCGCTGCGGGGGAGGTATGGAGCGGGCGGAGGTGGTGAGATCGGTCGGAAGGCGCGGTCGGATTGTATGGAAGAAGGATGATGGTAGATGTGCAGACAGAGGCGACGACGACACCAAAACAAAAAGCGGTGGGCCCACCCAGCCAGTGTGGGATGCAGGCGTGAAAATGAGGTGCGTGACCGAGCAACGCTGCGGGAATGGATGCAGCCGATGTGGTTCGAGAACCGCTTCTCTGTGAACGGGTCGGGTCGGATGCGGCTGACGGCACTTGAGCGTCACAGCGCGGCTGCCAAGATCGACAGCCGGCATGTCGCTGCTTGGATGTCTCGGCTGGCTGCCTCTGCCCAGTCGCAAAAGCAGCCCAAAACGCTAAAGGTCGCTTTGGCCATCGACCCGCGTCGAGACCGTCGGTTGCGGGAAATCAAAATTCCAAAACACGCGCGAGGGAGGGAGAAAAAAACTCGCACTGAAAGTGTGAGAGCTGCTTGATCTGCACACACATTCAACTTTTTTCGCCTCTCACCCTCCACATGCGCTCAGGGTCCAGATCAAGAAATCCGCTTCTCGCGCTTCTCTGCGATCGAGCCACCCAAATCACTCCACGGGCTCCACCCGACTCGGAAGAGTGAATCAGCGACCGCCTGCCTTCCCGCGGAAGCGCAGCAGTAGAGAGAGCTCTCGTGCTTTGCTTGCCTAACGCAGTCGCCGACGTTGACCAACGCTCAGCAGCTTGAACTCGACAATAAGCGCACGTTCGTCCATCCGGTCATCTGTTGAAATACAGCAGCCGGCCAAGCTTTCGGCTCTTCCCTCCCCGCTCCCAACCCCCGTCTCTCGTCGCGTCCTTTCCACCATGAGCATGTACACTGTGGGCCTCAAGGCGCTCCTGCCCACCTTGGGCGTCATCTACGGCTTCCAGGCCGCATGTGCTGCCATCGCTGTGCCGCTCAAGACGGAAAAGTACTACGACCTCTGCGGCTCGCTCGGCTTCATCTCGGCGGCAGGCCTCTCGCTCTACATGCCCTGGATCCGCGCACGCTACGTCGACGGCTTCAAGAATGTCGCGCTGCCCACCTCGCTCTCGGCCTTCCATCCGCGACAGACGATCATGACCGCATTGACGCTCGTCTGGGCCGCCAGGCTCGGCAGCTTCCTCTTCCAGCGCATCCGCAAGTCGGGCACCGACACGCGCTTTGACGAGATCAAGCAGAGCCCTCCCAAATTCTTTGGCGCATGGATGATGCAGGCCACCTGGATCGCCATCACTGCACTCCCCGTCTACCTCGTCAACTCGATCCCCAAGGCCTCCCAGCCGCCGCTCGGCACGCGCGACTTGCTCGGCCTCGCCATCTGGATCGCTGGCATGGGCCTCGAAGTAGCGGCAGACCGCCAAAAGTCGCAGTGGAGGCAGGATAGGGACGCAGGCAAGCACAATGAGCCCTTCATCTCTTCGGGCGTTTGGAGCTGGTCTAGGCACCCCAACTACTTTGGCGAGGTCAGCCTCTGGACCGGCCAGTTTGTGCTCGCCACCACCGCTCTCGCCAACGCAGGCACCTTCTACCCGACCTGGGCCGTAGGCCTCGCCGCCCTCAGCCCCCTACTCGAGTACGGTCTGATCCGCTTCATCTCGGGCGTGCCGTTGCTCGAACAGAGCGCAGAAAAGAAGCACAAGGACAACCCGCAGTGGAAAAAGTACAAGAACGAGGTGCCATGCTTCGTGCCCTTCGTCGGCAGCAAGAACTAGCACACCGATCCAAGCTGCACGTCAGCTGTCACTTTCACTCCTCTAGGCCTCGATTGCAATGGATTCGCATTCGCCTTGCCTCTATCCTACACAGCCTCGTCCCATTGTCGATGCTTGATCACGTCGAGCCATTCCCGCGGAAGGCTGGCATCCGCAGCTGGTTCTGCACAATGTATGGCCAATGCATCGCATGAAACGGGCCTAAGCGTGCTGAGCGCGAAATGACGCAGCTCCATGAATCCCAGCTCGCAGATGGCGGTGCGAGATTTGGGCTGCTTTGCTATCCTCCATTTCTTTTGTTACTTTTTTTTTTT